ATTAAGTTGAATTGCCTCAGGACATGGGAAAGTAACCGTTGGATTGGTGGTTAGGTCGCTGGACTTTCAATCTACGAGTCGTGGGATGGGATCTTGTCACCGAACATACTAACCATTTCTATCGTGGGGCATTTTAATGTGCGGTCAATCCTAATATTCGTTGTTAAAGAATAGCCCAAGAGCTGGCAGTGGATGATGTTGACTAGCTGCCTTCACTTTCAAAATTAGGAACGGCTCGCGCAGATAGCCCTCGCGTGGCTTTGCATGAGATTCAACGGAATGAAAGATGTTTCTACAGCAATGTGGATTGCTTCAAATAAAATACGATCATATATTTTAGATAATCAGAATTTAAACATGAGTATTATTTCAAAATAATCAAAATTTCAAACAATATTTTTTATAAATTACTTCAAACAAGAAAAAGAGTTAGCACAATTTCTAAATGCTCAGAACTAAAATATGATGCAGGGCTTCATAAAAAAAGTGCAGAAATTCGGGGTTGAGTGATACCCCTCAAGGACGTTCAGGGACAGGAATGTTGCTTCATCCATAATAAAAATAACCGGAAACTATAGGTAAGGTTTTACAATAGAAAAGCTTGTTTATTATTAAGCACAAAGCTACACAATGGGCTCTTTGTGCTGTGCCAACCACGGGTATCGAAACTCAGTTTTTAGCATTATAAGTCTTCAGACTTACCGCTGAGTCAGCCACTGGAGGGGGGCAAGATGGGAAAGGGAAAGAAAATAAAGAAAAAGAAGGTGAGGAGGAGAATAAGGAGTAGTTACTCTTGGCAGGGGAGGGACCCTTTGTGTAGGAACAATAATTTAAATAACTTAAACTCTAGGTAAGGGAAGTTAGAGAAGGGGCGGACTGTCCTCGAGAATTTTTAAAAAGGTTTTCAAACTAAAATCACGGGGTGGGGAAAATTGGTACTAAAGCGAAGGAACAGATTTATTGTTTTAGAGGATGGGAAGAGAATGGGCGAATAGCACACGTGCAAGCTAATCAAGACGCACTACTAGCGAAAACTTTCACTGATTCTATCAAGCTACTATTTAAACTATAGTTTTTACGCGGTTTTATATAGTTGTATTCACTCCGACAATAACATAAATTAACTATCAGAATAGCTTAATCATAGCAATCAAACGTAAATAATAATGTGCAGTGTCAGATTTTTAGCTCCCTACCTCTTAGATGGATCAGCGGTAAGCTTCAGGGCTTATAACGCGAAAAAATCAGGGTTCGATATCCGGTGGGCACAGTGTCGATAACCTATAGTGTAGCTTTGCCTTTAAAACCCAAACAAAAAAAATCAGATTTTCAAAAGTTGGAACGATTTTTCTGGTTTCTAAAAAAGAGAACTGAATCTACATTCCGGCTGAAGTTAAGTTCTAACCCTAGGTTTTACATTCCCCTAAGTCAAACACAGCCTTGAATCGCCTTTAACTTCAAACGACGATAAACTCTACAATATGCTCAAAATTCAAACATGAGCTTGAATCATCTCGGATAGATGAAGATTATATATTTTTGTAAGCTATTTTTTAAATGTGAACGTGTGTTTAGTATTTTTACCAGAGGGAGTACCATATCATGTGATGGGTAGAATTTAAAAAAATTAGGAAACTATTTGGGCAGTATAAAAATCAAATTAGCCTCGAGTTCATTGATTATTGAGCTAACAAGTTTCTTAGGCAGTTGTTCTGGTACTTCAGGCAATTAGTCAATTAGCTCGGTTTTCACAAAATTAAGTTTGTATTTTGACGAAGTACAAGAGATACAAGAAGTGCCATAGGTACGAGAAAATAAGTGAAATGTTGTGTTAGCGTCTATTCTAAACTTGGGTAATGATCATGAGTAAAGTTCCCTTGTAGAACTTAAAGATCAAGAAATAAAATGCTTTCGTCGATTTTGCGTTCTTATTTTTTTTCTTCCAAATATTCTAAAAGAACCTACCAAATAATATTCTATTTATTCAACAACAATATCCTAATTACTTAGTAACAATATCCTAATTATTCAGTAACAATATTCTAATTATTCAAAACTCCAACAGTATTGTGAACTTACTTCATGATTGTTACACGAGGGATATCTGCGCTAGCCGTCCCTAATTTAGCAGTGTAAGACTAGAGGGAAGGCAGCTAGTCATCACTACCCACCGCCAACTTTTGGGCTACTCTTTTATCAACGAATAGTGGGCTTAACCGTCACGGCTGAAAGAGCGAGCATGTTTGGTGTGACGAGGATTCGAACCCGCGACCCTCAGATTGCGAGTCGAGCGATTTAACCACCTGGCCATGCTTACTTTATGAACTACTGACTAGAGTAACTGACATATATTATACGATGAAGTAAACGACCACAAATTTCGAAAGGAATTTAAAGTTCAAAGTTCAACGCTCGTTACTGTCACTACGAGCCAAACAGTTTAAGTAGAATGTCGCTCCTGAAGAAGTTGTACAAACGAAACGTTTAGCGAAAGAAATAAAAAGTTTTTAATATGCTCAAACCTCAAGCATAAGAAAGTTAGAATTCAAATGGAACATTTTCTTATAGACTCCAGTTTCTGTATTCATATGTAATATGAATGTGATCTGTTTCCAATAATAAACTCATAATTCAAATATGACACTTTCTCCTATACCACAGGTTTTGTAGGTACTCAAAACTTAAAATGAGCTCAAACGGTTTGAAAATAATCCTACTGTAGACTCTTGATAGTTAAAACTTAAATATGGGCTTGGAGTGCCCCGACTGAGAAATTCAGAATTTATACTTGATTCTTTAATGAACTTAAGACTCAAAACATGAGTTTGAACTGCATCGTATAACAGATGATAATAAATTCTAAATATCGAAATCTCAAACATGACTTTGAACTGCTTGAAAAAATAGATAATATTAAATAAGATAGCCATTAATAAAAACGCTTACGTATCAGAACACTTACAAAATACAATAAATACGATAAGCTTTTGTAGAACCGTGCAGACAAGATGTAATGTTAACAACAACATGAACTTATGGTGACAAGATGTAATGTTAACAACAACAAGAACTCATGCTAACAAGATGTTACGTTAACAACAACAAGAACTCATGCTAACAAAATGTAACGTTAACAACAACAAGAACTCGTGCAAACAAGATGTAAAGTTAACAACAACAAGAACCCATGCTAACAAATATAACGTTAACAACAACAAGAACTCATGCTAACAAGATGTAACCTTAACAACAACAAGAACTCATGCTAACAAATGTAACCTTAAGAACAACAAGAACTCATGCTAACAAGATGCAACGTTAACAACAACAAGAACTCATGCTAACAAGATGTAACCTTAACAACAACAACAACAACTCACGCTAACAAGATGTAACCTTAACAACAACAAGAACTCGTGCTAACAAATGTAACCTTAACAACAACAATAACTCATGCTAACAAGATGCAACGTTAACAACAACAAGAACTCATGGTGACAAAATGTGACGTTAACAACAACGATAGTTCATGATGACAAGGTGTAACATTAACAACAACAATGATTCATGGTGACAAGATGTAACGTTAACAAGAACAACTCATGGCATAGTTGTGATTTTAAAAAAATTAGAATCTATATGGTGGTTTTTAACTTTCACCAGAAATACATGCCACGTTGATGAGATAAACCTATGTAAACAGGAACAAGCGTAACGGTCGGCTTATTCCGTGATTACCAAACCTTAAAATATAACAAACAAAGTAGTGATAAAGACATTTTAACTTCCAAAGTACTTCTAAATACGAAAACACAAGACTTTAACCATTTTAACAGAAACAAAACAAGGCCTCGAATTTCGTATTAATCGTGAAACAAAATAATGTTTTAATGCTGCAATTTATCTTCCAAGCAAATGTTTCATGCAAACACTGACAGTAATTACAGCATTCTACACTTTGGAAAAAGGACAAGAAAGTCAATTAAATTGTGTTTTGATGTTGAGTGATAACTTTCACTAACTAAAACATGGAGAGCGTGCAGTTCTGCGAAGCAGTCGTTGTAAATTTACGAGGATTCCATTACTTTAAATTACCTGGAAAGTTTTACCACGAGACACGTAGTTGCGATACATGTTCTGTAACGCCTAATAGTTCTATACTTGACAAGAGACAACTATTCAGTACAACTAGATAACAACGAGGCTTACATTGCTTATCAAATATAATGTTGGTTTTGGAAAATGCACTATAGACTTCAGACAATAGTTCAAGAGAGTCGTGACTCATGTGACATTCTCTTGAAAAACCATAGGTAGTTGTATTCATCCCCCCCCCCCCAAACTCCACATGACACTTTATTTCAAATACAACTGCTGGAAGACGTTTTTGCTGTCCAACAAAATAAACACTTTTAAACAGTACTCATACTAACAAAAAACATAGAAAGAAAATATCTCGGACGAGTCAGCCAACCGACTCAGCTAAACATTTCTATTTTAGTTAAACTTGTCGACAAATTAGGGCACACTAGCTCGTCGAGTTGCTGTTTCAGTTGTAAACATTGTCGGTTTGTGGTAAATGTTTAAAATGTTTACCCAATACTGCGGCTGAAGAACTTGCACAAGTTTTGAAGTAAGTTTAAAACCTTTACTCTATGTTGACTGAGCTCACGCTGGACACCAGATGTCGCGAGTATTGAGTTTTTAGAAACATGGCAATAATAAACAAAACACGTTGATGAGTAAGAAAACAGCCGTATTTAATAGTATATTATGTATATGTTCTAATGATTATTTTGTCAAAAAGAAATTCGTGAGGATTGTGGGAGTCATAAATTATCTTGCGTGCGTTTAACCTTTAATATTTAATACTTCGAATAGAATGCTCTACTGGTCTAAACTACAGTGAAACTAGAAATAAAATACATAAGAACTAGCATTGCAAAAATTCTATTACATGTGTATGTAAGTAGAATGTTCATAAATAAAAGTAAATTTACCTTATTAGAACGTAAGGTAACCTTGCCACCACAACGAGCACAACATCGCACGCTACAGTAATGACACACGTGACCGACACCATCCGCGAACTTGGTCTTGAGACATATCTCGCACGTGGCTTCAAGCGTCAACCCCATCTCCTTCTGTTCCTCTGTACGTTTCCTGATGGTCGACTCGAGCACCTGCACTTCCTCCTGTTTCTTCCTGGAAAATTGAACAAAGAAAATTTATCATTAACCTTGATATTAAACTATGGTAAACACTGTGAAATACAACTTTGTCTTGAGTAACGACCTTTCAGTTAGAAAATTATATAATTTCATGCACCACCTCAGTTATGGGAACGTTCCTCTTAAAGTGAATTCGGGAAGAAAAATATAAAAATAAAACATATTCTGGTTTGTAATGACTTAGATAAGTTAATAAGTATTATAGTTCACCAACTTAACCTAGTTCACACCGAAACGGTTATTGACCAAGCAAATGATGATATAAACGACGTCTCGAACCTCTACGATGTCTGTTGTATCCTAGCCTGGTCGAATGAGCCCTTGTATTGACGAAAGGCCTCGTCGGCACTGGATATAGCAGATGTAGTATAGTTGATAGGTTGATACATTCTTCTTTATTTTAGCTCTTAAGTTCTTATAAACTCATTTACCTCGTGAAGTTCTATTGGTAAACCAACCTGTATTACTAGCAAAGCAGGGGCGTCGCGTATAAAAGGCATTATTCTCACCAACTAAAACTATTATACATTCTACGTAGAAAGAGAGACAGAGAGAGTGAAAGAGGGTCACTGAGGAGAATTTATTTATATAGAAACTCAAAGTGATTCTTCCCAACAGTGCGAACCCAGTCCCACCCTCCCACGCGACAGAATAGCGTACCCAAGCAAGAGACTTACGCATTGCTTCTACTCGAAAGAAAGACAGACAAACAGATTTGATAGACGGCTACCAACCACTAATAAAGATATCCGCAAAGAGATTGATATTAGAATATACAGAAAGACAAATAAACAGAAATGTGCCTAAGAAATAATGCATAAACAAACAGACAAGCAGACAACAGATGGATAGATTGATAGACAGATTTTATTCTACTATCGATCTTTTAAAGCAAAAACACACTACAGCTGAATGTGATCCAAATGATTGCTCTGTAAGAATTTCCCAGTTATTCTCTCGTTTTACCTTCCAGATTGTGAACAGAATGAGGCCGTCGCTGTTGCCATGGCAACAGAAAGACGTTAAAAACAAAACAAATAAATAAAAAAAAACACGGTAGCAAGTGTTTCGTGCCGAAAACAGCACGTTTTCAACTTGCTTCTGATGTTATTGTCATAATACATTATGACAATTATAATCTATAAACATTTACAGAAAATGTAGAAATTCTATGATAAATTAATTAGTTTTCTGAAAACACACAAACCTTTCCTTTAAGTTAAATATTAAAAACAGAGAAATAAAATAGTGGATAGAGCACTTAACACATTAAATATGGAGATGGATATGAGAAAGTTAAAGATGTATTCACAAATATACCGAATCAAATTGATTTTCGTGTTCTGCTCGTGACTTGTACTTAAGGTCTCTTATTGAATAGTTTCAAAAATTTAATAATATTGAAACTTACAAATATATCCCCTAGTGCTTGCCAAAGTGCGCCTATATATCTGTAAACTGTAAGACAAACAGCAGTGTTTCGAAAAACGATTTTCAAACTTATAGTTTAAAAGCAAATAAATTTACAAACTTTTGTTCTGTATAAAGATTTAATCGCTTTTAATTCTTCATGAAAACGGAAGTAATTTTAGATTTATTTTTACTGCAGTGTGCGTGTACGGTGTGGCGTTACTCTTGTTCGATTTCAAAACATTGGGATAAATACTAGTGAAAATATGTTGTGACGCAAATACATATTCTGGAGGATTGATACAATAGGTTTTTCGACTATTTATCAGACCTACTGTATGTTTGATACTTTTCATTATGATATAGGTCCAACTTATCTCTCTGTGGTTAACTTGTGTTCAAGGTTACTGATGAGAAGTGGAATTCTCCGGAACTAATATAACCCAATAGCACACGTTGATCAAAGTGTAGATTCAACCGGACCTCCATTGAACTTAGATTTCGAGATTAAACAATTTTCGGAATACGAAGCTTATTAATTATTTATTAACTACTTATCAATTAGAAATAAATCTCTATAGTTTAAATAATAATAGTATACCGTCTTGGGTGAATGCACATAAGGTAAATCCAACCTAGTAGCTAGTTCTCCCGAATGGGGGCCGAAGTCCGCTTGGAGGTTTGTTTGTTTTAAACTTAAGCACAAACCTACACAATGGACTATCTGTGCTTTGCCTACCACGAGTATCGAAACACTATTTCTAGCGTTGTAAGTCCGCAGATATACCGCCCCCCTACCTGGAGGCGTCAACAGTTTTAACCACTCGCACCACTATACAGTAGTGTATTATCTGTCAGTCAGTCAGTAGACACTAATATGACGTCACATAAGGGATGCTTAACGTTGTAATTTATATACTGTCGTGACGTCAGTAAAACGTGCACATGCCATGAATCACGAGAACAATTATGCACTCTGTAGGACACAACACAGCATGACGAGTGAGCTTCAAAAGCAAGAATTAAAATGTGTATTACTCTTAATTTCGGTTTTATTTACTTTTGAAAGAGAACATTTTCGGATACCCTGCAGAAGTACACATAGTTTTAGAACTACTTTATAAGGTTGTACAGTGAAATCTAATTTACAGCAGCAGTAAATGTGCATCATTACATTAGTAAGTAAAAGAAGTAAATACAACGGTTTACAGTTGTGAAATATTACAATCTTTTACTTACTAGATAAGGTGCATTCAGGGATCTGCGTCATTTTGTATATTCATACCACTGCTGGATTAGGTATGGCAATCTCAGATATCGTGTTTAAAAAGTTCCAGTTTGTCTGACATGCTTACCTTTATTTTTATCTAAAAGGAAATTTAATGCTGATAAACATCACACTATCTAACCTGTGAAAAAGTTTATAATAGTATATTTCAATATTACTTTAGGATATTAAACACATTTATAAAGTTATGTTTAGAGATAAGAAAATAATTCAATATTTCAATTTTTCGTAAAAAAGAAGAAAAATTTAAGCCAGTATTTAATGGGAAAACGACTTCACATTATAGAACAGGATCATATGAGCACGGATATAATATTTTTTAATGAAATTTACCTTATTTATAGCATACATTACACTAAAACAAAAAAGTCAATTAAGCTATGTTTTAATGTTGAATTTGATTACAAAATTCAACTATGAAAAACTTGAAACACTACGAATGTAAAAGAACTGAATTTGTTGGACATGAACAGAAAAATTTCTACTGCACTTTTGTTGAACACGAGCCTCATAACCTGTGACGTCAACTGCTTCAATCAATACAAAAGGACTTCTGGTTATCAAGATATGTTCACTGACAACGCTATTTTAAAATAAAAATTAATGGACTAAATTAAAAGGGCGGTATGTTTATATAAAGGCTTAAACTGCTGGAAAAGTAAAGAAATTACGGCAATTAAAATCAAGATGTATGTTATCTGCCATTTTCAAAAACCTGTCTAATTGATATAATGTCAATGATTATATAGCACAGAAGCGCCACCCACGTACATTTCTAGCTTGGTGTTAAAGTAAAAAGTAAATATGCTTGTGAGAGCAGTTATCGCCCTGTGTCACAATTATATAATAACAGTTAGAGCAATTATTAAAAAAAAAGTCTTAACAGCCAAACATCCTCAGCCATTAGATCCTAGGTACTAGTCAGAAAACAACAAAAAAATATTTAGTTCTGTGGCATTAGAATATCATTTAGGCCATGTAGGTCATTTCGAAACATTGGGTAGGATGTTATCAACCTTGCAAGAATGTGTTATACCGATTCTGTCGTGACATTCTTGGTCATTTTGAACAGCTGTAAAGGAGGGAGTTAAAACATCAGTGTGGAACATGAGTTTTGATTTTGGAGCCTCGCCACGTCATTACAATCCACGTGTTCAGCAATTTTGACTAAAGACTCGTTCTTTTTCTTTATTGTACTTTAGAAACATGATTCTGATATGGCTCTATTAACTTGTTTGATAAGGAAGCCACTAATTCCGGGTATTTGTAACGGCTCTCAACTGGTAGGTTATTTAATGTTATTAAAGCACCTCTTTTACATGTACAGTAAAACTAATAGATTGTTATTCGTAACTCTATCAACTCGTCTTAGAAATTATTTCAAGCTGAGCCTGATATGCTCCACGTGGTACCTTTCCATCATAATCTGTTGGTTTCTCGGCTGGATGATGTTGTTGAAGTGGTCTATTATACTCCGTAACTTAATGAAGTTATGATATAGTTGGAACTGTCGAGGAAAGTCTTATAGTCACAGGTGGTAAAATGAGTAATAACAGGTGTTGACCAATGGGTTCTTTATTTTTTATGGCAGACTTAATTACATTTCAGGTTAAAATTCTTGATTGGATCAGAGGGGTGTGGCTGACTTGATCCTTGCATTTTCTAGTTCAACTTCCAGATATTATTTCCTGACATTAACGTTCTTTTGTACGTCGTTGTTATAATCCTTATCTAATTCATTGATATCCTTTTTACTTCGTCTTGTCATTTGTACTTCCTTTCTTTTACTTCGTCGATATAATGTTGTACTTCGTTTCTTTATCTTGGTTGATCTTATTTTATACTTTCTTTTTTGGTTGTTCGATGCCCTTTTGTACTTCGTCATTTTTTCTTTAATCCATCTGTAGATTTGCTGTGGCTTGGTTTGCTTTCATTTGAATTTCGCACAAAGCTATAAGAGAGTTACCTAATCTAGCAGTTATAGGCTAGTGAGAAGGCAGCTAGTTAACACCAACTACCGCCAACTCTTGGGCTAATTTTTTACCAACGAATAGTGGAATTGACCGTCACATTATAACGCCCTCACGGTTGAAAGAGCGAGCATGTTTAACGACGAAGGTTCGAACCCGCGACCCTCAAATTGCGAGTCGAGAGCCCTATCCACCAGGCCATGCCGGGCCTTTTCTATGGCTTCCTCAATCAGGTTTTCGATCAAATTGATTTTTGTTTATAAATTCTTTTATAAATCTTGTGTCTCGTTCTTGTAATTCTTCTGT